CTTGAAGTTACCATATTTCCTGTTTTAAGAAACACAATAGGGCTCTTTTTCGTGGCCCTCGGAGGCAATCAGGCTGCTTCACGATGAAGCTGAATATCTCCTTCCCAGCCCACTGGCTGCCAGAAACTCATTGAAGTGGACTGATGAACCAAACTTCGCACTTTCTATGAGAAGCGTATGGCCACGGGAAGTTGCTGCCGACGCTCTGGGTGAAGAATGGAGGGGTTATGTGGTCCGAATCAGTGGTGGGAACGACAAGCAAGGTTTCCCCCATGAAGCAGGGTGTCTTGACCCCATGGCCGTGTTCGCCTGCTACTGAGTAAGGGGCATTTCCTGTTACAGACCAAGGAGAACTGGAGAAAGAAAGCGGCAAATCTGTTCGGGGGGCTGAGGCAGTAGGATTGCTTGAGCCCAGGAGTTTGAAGTTGCTGTGAGCTAGGCTGACACCACGGCACTCTAGCCTGGGCAACACAGTGAGACTCTGTCTCAAAAAAAATTAAATAAATAAATAAATGGCTCTACAAAGTCTTATTCTGACATGGTTTTAGATACCATATATAGTAAAAAGTATTCCATAGTTCCTATTGGCATTTTCTGAATTCAACAGAAATTAGTGACACTTATTGCAAGGTTTCCCTGTCTTAGTTATTTTTTTTTTAATTTAGTGATTTTAGTAGAGCTTCAGCATGAATCATCTTTTCCCTTTTCAATAACCTATTATTTAATGTCACAAGAACACAATTGTCTTGATAAGGCAGTTTTCTCTTCACTGCACTATTTTAAAATTTTCTGTTATAATTAACTTTATTTCTTTGTGGCACAAAAATAATTATCATGCTTTTCTGCCCAATAATGGAGAAACAGTTGCAAGAGAGCTATATTTGGAGAAAGCCAGATATAGAAAGTATAAATGTTAACCTATTCAGCTGGTGATTATGTTATCTAGTTTAGGCAATATGATATTGAGCTAAAACTCTTGCATAGTAGTATGAGGTAGGCAACAGTGGTAATAAATATAAGTTGAAAAAATGTAACTGATAATATGTGTAAGTCCTAATGTCTTAAATTTAAGATAAATGTTATGTGTTTTGCCAGTACTTTTTAGGTTGGTTTTCATGGAAACTTTTATTTGTGAGGGAATATGACCATGTTTATACAGATAAAATGTTTTTCTTGTCATGGTATAGAAATAAGGGAAAGAAACCTGGTAGATGTAGCCAGTTCTGGAGGGGGTTAATAGAAGCAATATAAATTTTGCAGCTAAAGAAAAATAAATCAAATCAGAAGCAATTAGTATTTCTTTTTTTCTTTTCTTTCCTTTTTTTTCAGATAGTCTTGCTCTGTCAGCTGAACTACAGTGCGGTGGCATCAGCCTAGCTCACAGCAACTTCAAACTCCTGAGGTTAAGCAATCCTCCCGCCTCAGCCTCCCAAGTAGCTGGGACTACAGGTGTGCACTACCACACCCCGGCTAATTTTTCTATTTTTAGTAGAGACATGGTCTCACTCTTGCTCAGGCTGCTCTCGAACTCCTGAGCTCAAGCGATCCTCCCACCTGGGCATCCCAGAGTGTTAGGATTACAGGTGTGAGCCACTGCACCCAGCCAAATGTTGTAATTTCAAAAATGTTATGTTTTCAAAAAGCTAGGCTGGGCATGGTGGCTCACGCCTGTAATTCTAGCACTCTGGGAGGCCAAGGCGGGCGGATCGTTTGAGCTCAGGAGTTCAAGACCAGCTTGGGCAAGAGTGAGACCCTGTCTCTACTAAAAAAAAAAAAATAGAAATCATCTGGGACAACTTAAAATATATAGAAAAAATTAGCCGGGCATGGTGGCGCATGCCTGTAGTCCCAGCTACTTGGGAGACTGAAGCATGAGGATCACCTAAGCCCAGGAGTTTGAGGTTGCTGTGAGCTAGGCTGATACCATGGCACTCTCGCCCAGGCAACAGGGTGAGACTCTGTCTCAAAAAAAAAAAGCTAAACAGGGTTACCATATGATCCAGTAATCCCACTCCTATATATACTCAAGAGAATTGAAAACATATTCACATAAAAATTTGTACATGAATTTCACAGTAGCATTATTTAGAAAGCCAAAAAGTATACACAACTCAAATGTCCATAAACTGTTAAATGGATAAGAAAAATATGGTATATCCCTACAGTAGAATATTATTCATTCAGAAAAAGAAAGTACTGATATATGCTACAACAGGGATGAACCTTGAAAATATTAAGTGAAAGAAGAGGCCATATATTATATGATTCCATTCATAGGAAATGTCCAAAATAGGCAAAACCATAGAGACAGTGAATTAGTGCCTTCCAGGGGCTGAGAGGAGAGGGAAGCAAAGAGTACTAATCGGTATGAGGTTTCTTTTGAGGATGATGAAAATGTTCTGGAGTTAGATAGTAGTAATAGTTGAACAACTTGTGAATATATTAAAAACTATTGAATTGTACACTTTAAAAGGCTGAATTCTGGGAGGCCGAGGCTGGCGGATTGCTCGAGATCAGGAGTTCGAAACCAGCCTGAGCAAGAGTGAGACCCTGTCTCTACTATAAATAGAAAGAAATTAATTGGCCAACTAATATATATATATATATATAATTAGCCGGACATGGTGGCACATGCCTGTAGTCCCAGCTACTTGGGAGGCTGAGGCAGAAGGATCGCTTGAGCCCAGAGTTTGAGTTGCTGTGAGCTAGGCTCGACGCCATGGCACTCACTCTAGCCTGGGCAACAAAGCGAGACTCTGTCTCAAAATAAATAAATAAATAAATAAAAGGCTGAATTCATAATTACCCAGTTTAAGGGTATATTTTATTATAGCAGTATGAACAAGCAAATATATTACTATTTATTGAAATAGGGAAAATAGGAAAGAATTGCTTATTTGTGGTGAACAGTAGAGAAAAATCTAAATGTTTGCATTTTGTGTTTGAATATACTGGTGGGTGATCTAGGTGGGGAAATTGAAATAGGTAACTTCAAAAAGTTAGGTCTGGACTTCAGGATCTAACTGATTTGCCTGTGGCCACAGTCTGTCTTATTCTCTGAAGTCTTTCCACTAGAGCCATATTCCTTGCTCTATAAATGGTTTATGGAGCAAATGGTTTATAGAGCCATATTCCTTGCTCTATAAACTCTCTAGACTGGCTGAAATGTGTTTTAGTGGCAATGTAATTTTAAAGAACATGAAGGTATGTTTTGAATGAGAACATAGAAGCTTCAATTTATTGTTGTAATTTCACAGAATTTTTTATACATAGGAAAAAACACCGTATGTACATACTGGACTAAAATTTTAGTTTAAAATGCTTGATCTTCATATAGCCTCTGCTGCTAGAAAATATAGTATTTCAAATTAATGTAATTTTTTTTCAATAACAAAATGGTCCTGAACTTTTTCTAGTAACAACACCAATAATCTTCTACAATGTACCAAATTTTGTCTCCCCACCACCACCTACTTACTTGTTCTCAGGATCACATGTAGCCTATTAAGAAATGTGAACTAACAAATTAGTTTAAAAGTTAATAGACCTCTGAATGTTGGCAGTAGCTCACTTTTTTTTCCCTTCACTTATCAGAAGAGCAGAGATTTTAAAAATGTTATCTGGAGAGGAATAAACCACTTCATAGCAGCTGCACACCCCTCCCCAAGCTACCTTTAACCCCCCAATCCTTTTTGGTCTCTCCTCCCTGCTGCTCCCTTTGGGGCTCTCTTGTGCTGCTTCTTCTCCCAGAAGCCATCACTCTTGCTTCTCTTCCTAACTTTATCATCTTTTCTTTCCTTTATTTGACTTCAAATATATATAACCAATTTAAGCCTTGCTCTTTCTTCGGACTTTCCTATACATTTCTCTGATTAGCACAAGTTAGACCAGGAACCAAGTGGCATAAACATAGGCTTTTCCTTAGAATAGTGGCCTGTGAACACATTCCCCTTTACACACATCAGAAAGCTAAACATCTTTTGCCAAAGCACCAAATATATCTTTCTTTTCTGCTAGGAATTACCAAATCCATTATTGGTATAATTTACTCTAGTAATAAGACTTGAACAACTTTAATGTTGGTAAGAATGACATGACTTATTTCAAACCCTCTATGCCAATTTTATTTTATTTTATTTTTAAAATGTATTCAACATTGGAATATACGGTTAGAGTAGATTCAAAAGGCTTTCTTTATCATAATGTGTAACTTAAATACCCATAATGATTTAACATGAATTTTTAAAATCCAAAACGATAAATGATTTTAACACTTTCCCTTTATCATTAGCTAAGAAATCTTCAAAAAAAACTTTCCATAAAAGAAACTTCACTGCAAGAGATGAAGACTGAGCTAGAAAGTTACAAAGAAAATAATATGCAACAGTTGTTCCAGATAATGTCCCTGAAAGATGATATCAAGGACCTACAGGAACTTACTGCTTCTCTAACCAGAATTAAATCTTTGAAAAACACCAATATACAGAGTCTTAAAAGAGGCAACTGGGATTTAACTGAACGAATTATGGAACTAGAAAACCAGATAAGGTAGGGAATTTTCTAGTTTGTTTTCGAACATGTCTTTTGGCATAAATTTGCAATAGTATATGAACTCTATACTCCTGATTGGTCACAGAATTTAAGTATAGTAAAATTTCACTTAATACCTGACCCAACATTATTACATGGAAAAAAAAAAAAAAACCACTTTGTATTGAAATATATCACATAACCTAAGATTCAATTTAAAGTCTGCAATTTAGTGGTTGTACAACCATCACCATTATCTCATTACAGAACATTTTCGTCACCCAAAAAGAAACTCCATGACCATTAGCAGTCATTCTCCATTTCAATCCTCCCCCAGCCCCTGCAACTGCTAATTTACTTCTGTCTCTATAGATTTTCCTTTTTCTAGATATTTCATGTTAATGCAATCACAAAACATATGGCCTTTGTCTGTCTTCTTTTACTTACCATGATGTTCTCAGGGTTCATTCATGTTGTAGCATTAATCAGTAATTCATTCATTTTTATGGCTGAATAATATTCCATTATATAGATATATCACTTTTTGTTTATCTCTTGATGAACATTTGGGTTGCTTCCAGTTTTTGGCTTTATGAATAAAGCTGCTATGAACATTCTTTTTTAAGCTTTTATATGACTATATGTTTCATTTCCCTTAGGTATATTCCTTAGGAGTAGAATTGTTGTCATATAGTAAATCTATGTTTAATTTGGTATGGTCCAGTCCAGCAATTCCTCAAAAGTAACAATCAGTTAGATAACTCACTACCTTTGGACCAGCCTAGTGTGCTCTCTGAAAGAGAATTTTTCCTTTTTTTAAAAAAAAAAAAACTTCTGAAACTATGTTATTTCATTTTTAATTTTTTTATTTTATAAATTATTTATGTCTTAGCTTCTGCATGCTGCTGTATCATCTTCAATTTTGAAGGGTAATTTCACTGAGGATAGAATTCTGAGTTGTCAGGTTTTTTTCATTCAGCACTTTTAAATGTCATTCAGTTATTTTCTGACTTTTTATAGGTTCTGTTGAAAAGTCATACATCAGTCTTACTGTTGTGTGTCTTTTTTTCTTTTTTCTTTTTGAGGCAGGGTCTCACTCTGTTGCCTGGGCTAAAGTGCAGTGGGGTCATCATAGTTCTCTAGAACCTCAAACTTCTGGTCTCAAGCAATCCTCCTGCCTCAACCTCCCAAGTAGCTGGGACTACAGGTGCATGCTAATGCACCCAGCTAATTTTTGTATTTTTTATAGGGATGGGGTCTTGCTATGTTGCTCAGGCTGGTTTCAAATTCCTGGCCTCAAGCAATCCTCCTACCTCAGCCTCCCAAAGTTCTAACATTACAGGTATGAGTCACCACACCTGGCCTCATTGTTACATATCTTTGAAGGTAATGTAGTTTTTCTCTAACTGCTTTTAATTGCTGGCAGTCTGACTCTAATGTATCTTGGTGTGACGTTCTTTGACTTAGCCTGCTTAGGATCTGTAGTGCTTACCAAATGTGTCAATTTATGTCTTTTATCAGGTTAGGAAATTCTTGGGAATCCAAATATTATTTGTGTCCCATTCTATCTCTACTCTCATTCTAAGGCTGTGATTATAGACATGTTAAACCTTTTGAGTGTACCCTACTATATGTCTGTAATGTAGAATCTGTATGTCTCCAATATAAATTTTTTGAATTAAAATTTTCTCTTTAGATAATTTGGATAATTTCTTTTGATCTGATTTAAATCCACTAATTCTATAAGATGAAATTCTTAGATAGAAGAGGACATAAAAACCCATGGAAGATGGACCAAAACTTTAACTTAGATTCAGGGTAGCAAATAGTACCAATAGCTAGTAATTGGTAATCAAAACAAGAACCAAATAATTAGCTGCTTCTATCTAAGCTATTTATATATCTGACGATTAAACAAATTTTTACATATGCTATTCTCTATTGAGAATCATTATTTTTAGTTCCTTTGTCTCCTCATTGAATCCTAATTGAAGATTCCATTCAGGGCTGGGGGCAGTGGCTCACACTTGTAATCCTAGCACTCTGGGAGGCTGAGGCAGCGGATTGCTCGAGGTCAGGAGTTTGAAACCAGCCTGAGCAAGAGCAAGACCCCGTCTCTACTATAAATAGAAAGAATTAATTGGCCAACTAATAATATATATAGACAAAATTAGCCTGGCATGGTGGTACATACCTGTAGTCCCAGCTACTCGGGAGGCTGAGGCAGAAGGATTGCTTGAGCACAGGAGTTTGAGATTGCTATGAGCTAGGCTGACGCCACGGCACTCACTCTAACCTGAGCAACAAAGTGAGACTCTGTCTCAAAAAAAAAAGAAGATTCCATTCAGGTATTATTAAAATAGGAAGCCAGCATGATGGCTCATGCCTGTAATCCCAGCACTTTGGGAGGCTTGGGCATGAGGATCACTTGAGGCCAGCAGTTCAAGATCAGTTCAAACGATACAGCAAAACCCCATCTCTACAATTAGCCAAGTGTTGGTGGCAGGCACCTATAGCCTCTGGAGGCTGAGGTGGGAGCATTGCTTGATCTCAGTAGTTTGAGGTCTGCAGTGAGCTGTGAATATGCCACTGCACTGGTCCAGCCTAGGGTGACAGAACAAGACCCTGTCTCTAAAAAAATGGTTTCAGCATAGACCAACTACAGGACTTAACACTGGGTTGTCTCCATTTCTTTACCATTTCTAGCCTTTTCCTAGAAATGCTTAGATAACTGCATAGCTCTTTTCATAAGAAATGTATTTTTACTTGATACATATATTTAATGTTTTAAATGGGGGATTTTTCCTTTTGTTATTTTTAATTGAAGTTTGAAAATTGGTTGAGTTGGTTTCATGATATTGCTACATACTGATTATCTTACACAGGGCACATCTGCTTGAAAGAGAAAAGGCAGAGCAAAGAGATTTTCTGGAGAAAAAGTTCTCAGGTGCTAACAGATTCACCCCTTATATGTATATGAAAGGACAAGAAGAATCCTTGGATATTTTCATGATGAAGGTGAGAACAAATTTCGATTGATTTTTGAAGAAATAGGATTTTTATTAGCTTGTGTTACTCTAGGAGGTAATTGGTAAATGTTGAGTAGTTTGTTAGTCCTTTTTATAGGAGAAGATCAAAGGAAGCAGTAAAGCAGGGTGGACTGGTAACTTTTCTGATGTATGTTGAAAAAGTACAAGAAGGATCTGAAGGTCTCTGTGATACTGAAGGACAGAGAGAGTAGGGTTGTGAGAGAACTGGGAGGAGAGGCATGGCTAAAGAGTGAAATACTGGAGTTCTAAATTTCTGTTGTGGATTGGTTCCTGCTGCTGACAATATCAGGGTTTCTGAATCTGGGTGCAGGTGGTTGAAGAGGGGCATAGGTAAAAGTTATTGAAATTGAGGCACAGGAATCACAAAGCTAAATTGTTTGATGAGTTATCTACATTGGCCATTAACGTCTAGAATTTTGGCATGAGTTGGGTTTAGAAGAAGGAAGTGAGCCTGGTCTCCAATAGAGAGTGATTCATATGATGAGTAGAAGGCATTACACAGGCCGGCACAGTGGCTCACGCCTATAATCCTAGCACTCTGGGAGGCTGAGGTGGGCGGATTGATCAAAGTCAGGAGTTCGAAACCAGCCTGAGCAAGAGCGAGACTCTGTCTCTACTATAAATACAAAGAAATTAATTGCCCTACTAATATATATAGAAAAAATTAGCCGGGCATGGTGGGCCAGCTACTCGGGAGGCTGAGGCAGCAGGATTGCTTGAGCCCAGGAGTTTGAGGTTGCTGTGAGTTAGGCTGACACCACGGCACTCACTCTAGCCTGGGCAACAAAGCGAGACTCTGTCTCAAAAAAAAAAATTCATCAACTACTTCAAAAGTAATTTAAAGTAATCCTAACCTTAATTTGCCTCTCTTAAGTAATTCACAGTAATGCTTTTTTTTTTACTTGTTTACTTCACTAATTTCTCACATCTCTGAAAAACTTCCATAATCAGAGCCCATGCAGCTCTGACGTTTTCTTCCCCTTCTCTTTTATTCTACCTCTTTTTTCTAGGCTTTTAGTGATGCAAACTCATCATTACTTCAACAAATCTAGCTCTCCTATTTCTCATTTTCACATGACAAAAAGCCCTGTTCAGAAACAGAACTTGCTTACTCAGCTCCCAGAGCTGAAGGTGGCAAGAAGGCTAGGTAGAATTTTATAAAGGTAGAATTCTTTTGTGGGACATTGAGGAAAGGAGTATAAGCCTTATTCTTTTTTTTTTTCCTGTCATATTTGTAATGAAAGCAGGATGATTACAGAAGCACAAGGGAAAGGTTGGCGGAAAGAAATGTGACTTCTTTCACTTATACTTTTATATTATCAGGGTGGTTATTATTAAATTATATTCTATAACCATAATCAAGTCTTTATGAAAATGTCCATTTCTCTGTTAACTTTTCATTTAACGATCTTAGCATTCATTGATGATACTTGCCTCAATCAGTTACTTCACTAGGAGTTGCAAATGTTGATTTTTAAATTTCCATCATTCCTTCTACATTTATGAGCTCAAATTTTTCTGTATTGAGTTTACCTTCATCAACTGAGACTGTTTTTTTAGCTGCTTTTCTAACAAATTTTCTTGTATTCTAAAGTAGTTTTTCCATACCATCATTTCAATATCTCTTACTGTTCTAGTTTGCTCTTTTGAGGATGCCCTTATCTCTCTTGGTACTCTTTAACTCTTTCCATTGATGGTCTTTTCTCCTGAAGTTTTTTTTTCTCTATTTAAAAAATTTTCTTTTTCTTTTTTTTTTTTTGAGACGTCTCTTCTGTTGCGCTGGTGGCCGGTGGGTCAGCCTGTCCGCACTCATCCTGCGGGCTCAAGTGGGTCCTTCTGCCTCAGCCCCCAGTGGCTGGCGACCAGGCAATGTTGGCTTTTTTTCGTAATTTTTTTTCGGTTGGCCATTATTTTCTTTTTTTGTAAGAACTATGGGGTCTTGCTTTTGCTCAGGCTCGCGTTTCAAATCCTGACCTTGGTGCTCATTCCGTGCTCGGACCTTTCCGGCTTGTTACAGCTAGCTTACGTTGCTCATGGCCTTTTTTTCCTTTTTAAGGTAGTCTATTGGGGCCTAAATCAACGATGCTTCACTAATCACATTTCTCTTAGCTTATGCTTAAATGTTATCAGTTGCTGTCTGGTTTTAAACGGGGCTACAGTTATACCCTTTCGGTGGTGTAAGTTTGCTGGCTGATATCTGAATACTTTAATGTACACATGCCTTAACGTTCATTGCAAGAGATACAATTTTGTTAATAGTTTTTTTGTTTGTTTTGTTTTTTTTTTGAGACAGAGGTCTCGTTTTGTTGCCCGGTAGGTTGGTGCATGGATTCAGCTGCTCACGCAACTCAATCCTTGGGTCAGGCAATCCTGCTGCCTCGCTCCCGAGTAGCTGGGACTACAGGCATGCGCCCATGCCGGCTATTTTTTCTTTATATTAGTTGGCCAATCTCTTTCTTTTTAGTGAGGATGGATCTGCTCTTGCTCAGGGTGGTTTCGAACTCTGAACTCGGCATCCGGTCGCCTCGGCTCCGAGTGTTGTTTATGGCGTTGGCCAACCACGCCGGCCTATAATAGTTGTTGGGATAGAAAAGGGTGGCTCATCTTTACCCTAAAAAAGGGAGAGGTGGGCTTGCTCTCTAAAGAGACCCTGTCCCTGTGTGGTCTTTAGAGACTTGGTTTGGTTCTCTATCGAAAATAAAGAATATAGCCAAACTACATTGAAGGCATAGGTTAAAAGAAGGTATTAAATAGATGTGTAAGTCATCAGTTGGTTAAGTCTTTCTCTAGAACTTGGAAGCCAGAGAAAGGTCATTGAAAATTTTCAGAAATAAGCACATACATGAAGAGGACAGAGATGAGAGGGGGATCCTAAAGTTTTGTGTTGTGACTTTATTTATATTTCAAAACAAGGGAAGTAAATGTCTCTGTATTAAATTTCAAATGGAAAGTTTAACCTGTATATTGGCACACTTAGGATAAGGATGAAGCTATCCTGTCCAAGAACTTTGAGAGAAACATTCTTCACTCCGAAGGACCAAAAGATGAGCAGAAAAAATGGGATAAATGTGAACAAGATTTGGTCCATAAAGAACAACAAACATCTGAATTAGACAGATCTCCATATTCATTTGGCTGGGAAACTAAAACTGCACAATCCCAATATCTACGTTTCCTTGGTCAGTTGGCTGCTCTTCCAGGTGATGGCACTGTCCCCATACCAGCCACAGAGGAAGCTGTGAATGAGAAGATTCAGGAAACTGGTGCAAATGAGCAACCTTGGAAATCTGTAAGTGTATTGACATAAAAGTTGTTCTTTCCAATTTGATTCTTGTTTTTTTGTTTTTTTTTTTCTTGAGACAAAGTCTCACTCTGTTGCCCGGGTTAGGGTGTCATGGCGTCAGCCTAGCTCACAGCAACCTTAAACTCCTGGACTCAAGCAATCCTCCAGCTTCAGCCTCCTGAATAACTGGGATTACAGATGCTTACCACCATGCCTGCTAATTTTTCTATTTTTTGTAGAGATGGGGTCTTGCTCTTGCTCAGGCTGGTCTTGAACTCCTGAGCTGAAGTGAACCTCCTGCCTTGGCCTCCCAGAATGCTAGGATTACAGGCATAAACCACTGTGTCCACCCTATACTCTGCTTTCGTAAAATTCATTATACAACTTTATTTCTCAGTACTAACCAAATTATATTATTTTTATATATCAAAGCTTTCTATTTATATTGTAACCCAACTTACACATGTCAAATCTTAAAGTCCTCCCTGTTCATCTACTTATAACTTAATGTGACTACAATGTTGATGTAAATAGAACTTGCACATAATTTTGAAACTACATAGAAAATATGGACCATCGGGGAATTTTTAATATTTTTTTCCTACAGAAAACCAAAGACCTTCAGATGCTCACTAAACGACTGGAGCAGCTGCATTACCTTTATAAAGATACTGCTCAAAAATCATCCCAAACTGAAGAAAAGTATTGGGAACAAAAAAGACCCTTGAAACACCTAGAGGGGAAAATTGAAATCAATGACTTTTTTCAAGGAAGATTAGACTTGGATAAGAAGAAAGTAAGAATTTCCTGAAGTATAGGCATTTCTTTGATAATGAAAATGATTGTTTCATTTCTTGATAACTTTAACATCTAATGTTTAAAGCTGTTAATACTATTTATACTTAATAGTGGGAAAGTAGGGAAATTTTCCTTCCTAACATTGTGCATTTTCACTTTCCCTCTTTCCTTTTTTTTTTTTTTTTTTATTTTGAGACAGAGTCCTAGCTCACAGCAACCTCAAACTCCTGGGCTCAAGGGATCCTCCTGCCTCAACCTCCCCAAGTAGCTGGGACTACAGGCATGCGCCACCATGCCCGGCTAATTTTTTCTACATATATTAGTTGGCCAATTAATTTCTTTGTATTTATAATAGAGACGGGGTCTCCCTCTTGCTCAGGCTGGTTTCGAACTCCTGACCTCGAGCAATCTGCCCACCTCAGCCTCCCAGAGAGCTAGGATTACAGGCGTGAGCCACCGCGCCCTGCTCCCTCTTTCCTTTTTAACCATGCTTGCCTGGGACATCTACTTTATCTTTCCAAAGAACCAGTGGTTCTTTTTTGGTACACACGTTACTAGTTTATTTTGAATTACATATAATGAATACATGTAGTATCTTTATTAAATATGCATTCCTACTTGTTAGGGTTCAGGGTCAATAATCTTGTCTGTTCTCGGTTCTTAGTGTGCTCTTGGTCCAAGAATGACCAGACATACCAAAAGCAAGGCAAGTGTGAAACAAAGTTTATTGAGAAAGGACAAGATAGGTTTACAGATGAAGAGCAAGATACAGGTTTACAGAGTAAGAGCAAGATAACATTTGACACAGAACAGCAAATGGACCCCTCTTTTGTAACAAAAGGACTCTGATTATGGTCTGGGATCTTGTTTTATACTGTCTGGATTGGGCCCACCTTGTGGTTCAGGCATCGCTGTGAAACCACTTTGACGGACAGTTAATGAACGGCATGATAATTAGGCTTAGGTTACTCTGGGTCACTTTCCAAATCCTTTGGTGCCTAGGCTGCCTGGCCTATGGGCTGGGGATTCACTGCATTCTTTTGCAGATTAGCAGGGCTTCCTTCTTCCCACAGGTGAGGCATTTGCTGGGGGCAGGATTAAGGTGGAAGCACCAAGAAGGGACTCCCCACTTGTCCCCCTTCCCTGGTGGAGCAATTGCTCAAGGCAGCACCAAAGCAAGGCACCTGCTTTTGTCCCCTAGGAGAGTCTAGGAGGTCCCTTGCTATCTATCTAACCCTACTTTCTCTTTTCCCTTTCTGAAGTTAATATGCCTTTTCATCTTTTGTTTTAAATCACGAAAGCAGTAAGTGCTATTAAATATTCCTCTGTAGTTTGTCCAATAGATTTTAATTAGGAATGTTCTTTTCACTATGTTCTACGTATGTTTGTAAGTTTAGTGTTGATTTCATTTCTTGAGCTAAAGTTATTTAGAATTTTGTTTAACTTTTACATAAACACACACATATCTATACATCTTAAAAAGTCAAATTTACCAATAGTCTTTTATTGAAAAGCAGCAGCTCTCTTCTATACCTCCCCCTGTCCTATTTCCCAGAGGGAACTATTTTCAACTATTTTAGCTATTGCTTCTGGTAGTTACTTCCATTTCCCTAAATAATTTTATATTGCAATATCTTGAATTGTCCATTTTAGACATTCTGTGTTGACTTCCTATTATATGATAGATGAAGTTTTCTTTCTCTTATACCACTTTCCCACCTCCCCCTCTGTCTTCCTAATATAGTTATATAGATATTTTTACCTAATCCACAATCTGCATTTAACTTCACGATGATACTTAAATCTATACAAAAACTTAGAAATACTTTATTTATATTATGTTTTCTTTTTTGAATTATATTTTATTTTTTCTAGAGTTAATAACCTTCCTTGTGTTTTCATATGTTTGATTTTCAACATTAATTTATTGTTTTTTCCCCTGAATCTATATCAAATGATCTTTTAGGCCAGCACGGCGGCTCGTAATCCTAGCACTCTGGTGGGGCTGACATGGGAAGATTGATTGTGGCCAAGAGTTGGAGACTAGCCTAGCAGGAGGGAGACCCCATCTCTACTAAAAATAGAAAAATTAGCTGTGCATCTTGGCATGTGAGCCAGTAGTCCCAGCTACTCAGGAAGCTGGGTCAGGAGGACAGTTTGAGCCCAGGAATTTGAGGTTGCAGTGAGCTACAATGATGCCACTGCACTCTATCCAGGCAAAAGAGAAAGACTGTCTCAAAAAATAAATAAATAAATAAAAGATCTTTGGCTCCATAAAAATTCCCATTTTTCTCTCTCAAAGTCCTTCATTCTCTTGCTTGAGTCTGGATTTTGCTGTGTGGGTCTAGCATAGTTATAATCCTAAATCTCATGTCTTCCTCTTTTTTGGTTTACTTTCTTATTTTGCTAGAGCACATTCTCCAATACCTTTCTGAGAAATAGTGCCTTGGAGAGATACATATTTTTTTTTAGTCCTTGTATGAATAAGAGCATCTTTTTTTGAATCCTCACATTCAATTGGTAGTTGGGTTTAGATTTTATTTTCACACCGAGACTTGAAGACATTACACTACTAGCCAGGGTTGTTGTTGAGAAAAATAATGCCATTCTGATTCTTATTCCTTAATATATTACTTATTTTATTTTATTTTATTTTATTTTATTTTATTTTATTTTATTTTGAGACAGAGTCTCGCTTTGTTGCCCAGGCTAGAGTGAGTGCCCTGGCGTCAGCCTAGCTCACAGCAACCTCAAACTCCTAGGCTCAAGCAATCCTACTGCCTCAGCCTCCCGATTAGCTGGGACTACAGGCATGCACCACCATGCCTGGCTAATTTTTTCTATATATATTAGTTGGCCAATTAATTTATTTCTATTTATAGTAGAGACAGGGTCTTGCTCTTGCTCAGGCTGGTTTCAAACTCCTGACCTTGAGCAATCTGGCCGCCTCGGCCTCCCAGAGTGCTAGGATTACAGGCATGAGCCACCTCGCCTGGCCCATTTCTTTTAATGAATTAAAACATTTGTCATAAGATTTTTTGTTGTAACATCTTAAATAACTAATTTTTTCTCATATTAAAAATTTGTGTGCATTAGTGAAGATTTATAGGGAATAGAATAAAATTAAAATAACTAGTAATCCTACCATTTTGAGATAACCAGTGTTAGCATATAGGTATATTTCCTTCTGATTATTTTCTATGTATATTTTAACATAATTGAGATAGTCTTTATCTAAATAATTATTTCCTTATATTACATTCCTAGAAAAAGTGAACTAATCTATGCTACTACTTGGTCCTTATAAAATTGTTTATTTAACTATACCACTGGTAGCATTGAGTTATCACTTTTATTGTCATATTTTGTTTTTCTGATTATTATAATAATGCATATTTATGGCAAAAATATTTTAGTTATATAAGTATTGTTAAGCTTGCAGCTTATTAGTTTACAGTAAACGTGGTATTGTGCTAGTGTATAACAACATCTTAATTCTTTATTTCAATATTGTTGATTTCTGTAAAGGAAAACTCAAAGACTACAAATTCCCAAACAGATGAGCACAGTGAAAAGTTTAAACAGCTAGAGGAAAACAACACTCAACAAATGATATTAAATATTCAGCAGAATTTGCAGATTGCTACAACACAAAGATTGGAGGAGAAAATTCAGAAACTTCAGAAACAGCTCAGTGATTTGAAATTGTCAAATAAAAGTATGAAAACTCAACTGACAAGAGTAAATGTCCTTAAAGTAAGTAAAGGAAGTAAGGCTTTCAAAAAATAACTTAAGCTTTGGTCTATTACTATTTTAGCTGCATGTGTCTCATTGAACTGTTAAAAAATTAATGTTAAAATTATTTTACATACATACAAAAGAATATATATTAAAGCATATAGAATAATAAAACTGGATGCCTGTTAATCCATCACTCAATTTAAGAAACAGAATATTATCACTCTTTCAAATCCCCTATTCTTCTTCCCTATTCCTCAAAGGTAACTGGTATTCTAAGTGTTATGTTTATAAATCCCTTGCTTTTTGTTTTTGTTTTACTTTAGTCTCTAATTGGAGTAAAAGTTTTAGTTATTTTTTGGCTCTTCTTGGACCTTCTCTGTATCAAGCTTTAGTTATCCTATTTCAAATGTAAATTATGCCTTAAGGCAAACATGCACTAAACAGTTGATCAACTGATATGCCAGTTTATCAGCAACCATTTTTCTTACTGCAGAGCCAATTATTTTCTATATTCCTGTATTTAATTAACGTAGGACATGGAAAATATGCTAAGCCTCTTTGAATCCCAAGTGCCCAGTTTATAAAAGTGCTGAGTTAATGTTAGTGATTGACAAATATGATGGTAGAAAAATGTCCTCTTATTTCGGAAACTGTGGAGTTTTTTTCTTTTCCATATATCTATCGCTTTAAAAAAGAAAGGAAAAAAAGCATGAGTTATTGTGCCTGTCTGGTATTTAGAAGAGATCTGATCACAATCATCTCTCTTTCCCTCACCTTATACCCTCTCACAGGACAAAACAATTGAAAAACTCAGGAAATCTTTAACAAAAGTGGAAACAACAAAAGAGAAGGCAGTTATGCAAACAGAAAACTTGAAAGCTACATTAGACTCTGGAGAGCAAGAGGTAGGATCAGACAAAGAGAGGGCCCATCAGATGTTAGATGCTGTCACTCCTGAGCTCTCCACAGCAAAGGGCACACTTGAAGAAGTACCAGGACAAGAACAAAAGGTATTTTTTCCTTATTACTATATTAAAATTAATTCAATTGAAATGATAAACACTCACTTCAACTTAGACTCTACTTATTGGACAGAAGGGAATTTATTAGCTTATGGATTCAAAGACAAGTCAAACAACCTAACTCTGGGACGGCAGAGATGCACTTGGGCCTCAGGATGCACCTGGAACCTTTCAAGTCCTTTCTCACTATCTCTTTTTAGCATCTGTGTGCCAGCTCATCTGTCTGACTGCCAGTTGGTTTTCTCCGTATCGCAGGAAACATGTCCACTGACAACCATGCAGGTTTTTTTTAATTAATTTATTTTTCAATTTTTATTCTTTTTTCTTTATTTTTTTATTATAGTTTTTAGGCTGAGTGAACCATGCAGTTTTATATTTAGTTTTTGTGACAGAAGAGAGAAGCCCAAGAAAGGGTCTTATTGGCTCAGTTTAGGCCAAATACTTATCCCTGGTGAACCTACCGTGGCTAGGGATGGGATATTTGATTATTATGGCTTAGGTTTATGTACCCATCCTCTGACTAGCGAGTGACCATTAGAGTAGGGGGTCATGTAAGAGAATAGAAGCTCAGAGGAAACTGGGTGTGTCACTTTCTTTGTGTCACTGTCTAGGGGACTAGGGTAGTGCTTCCAAACTTGCTTAGATTTTCCCTATACTTATGAAGCAGATATTTTAAGAGAATTTTAAAAAGGTTAACTGATAATTTTAGGCAATTGTTAAATTATATATCATATCTCCATATATTAGTAGCTTTAGAAATTTGAAATTTTAACCAATTACCTTAAGATATGCTTAAAACATATGAAGTCATGATATTAGCATTTTCTCCTTTCTCTTTCTCTCCCTCTTTTCAACTTCTGTATATTTATTCACTTTCTTGGTTGTTTTTATTCTTTTCTTTAGTGTCCCTTTTATATTTTCAGTCAAATCTTTTCTCCTTTGGGCACTCCGTAGTTCCCTCTTCATTTCTGAGAGGGATTTTTGTGTTGTTTTTGCCTGAGGTTAATTATAACATCTTTCTTATCCACCAGACATCTTTTCTGTCCATATGTATTCTTTTTTGGGGGGCGGGTCACAGATGATGACCAGACCCATCATTGCCATATCTATTCTGAAGTATTACATTTTTTTCTTTTTTCTTTTTCTTTTTTTTTTTTTGCACTCACTCACTGACAGACCCACTTTCTCCTGAATTATTACATTTTGGATTTAAAATAAAGAGATTTTTTCCAAGTCTGAGAATCCTTGCTTTGTTGATATTTAATTCCTATCAGGGTGTTGTATCAAACATGTTTCCTGTGCATCATGGCTGTTTTTTGGAGAAAGTATTTTTTCATCACTTGGACAGTTTGGATGATACTGCTTTTCTATTTTCTTCTTAAAGAAATTTTATATGGCTACATTGTACCATTTATCCATCTACTTTAAAAATCCCTTTAATTGCTCAGGTCTTTGGGTATTTCACTTTAGGGTAGCTGTAGACAGTTTACTTACTAGGTTTCTTAATGCAATATCACGTCTTCTGTTGGCACAGTAAGTGTAGTTTCTAAAGTTTACTAGACCAAGATTTTATTTTGGGAGTGGGGGTTTATGTGATGTCTGACCCTGCAATACTCTCTTGTTTGTATAAATCCCTTAATTTTCACTGTTTGCACTGTTTGCACTTTTCTTTTACTACCAAGCCTTCAAGAAACACCTCACCTCACCTTTCTAAGTATCTCCCTCTCCCCTCAGAAACCTTGCCTCTAGAACTGCCATTTCTGGTCTCATATGCTTCTAAGGCCCTTGCTTTTCTTTCCCCACTTGCCAGTGTTCTGATCCTCCAGATCTCAGATTTGTTCTCAGTATTTCCCCATTTGTGAACTGTCCCGTTTCTGGTAGTAAGGTTGTTTTCATTCTACATCAGTGGAAACTACCTGCACGCTTCTCTTGAACTACTTCTGCTGGTATGTAATATTTATTTCCCGCTCATATGTAAATTGAAGTCTGTGATATTCTCCAGTTATGCTTTAGGTATGATTTATGAATGGTTTATACTTATTCCCCTTGTTGATCACTATGGTTTTTGGAGGATGAGTGGAAAGATATGTATTTAGGGGACTGCTATTATCATACAGCAAATCAGAAGTCCAAAACATAATTACCTTATGGATGAACGGTAACAAAACAAGCAGCAATAAAATTAGGTTTAATCTACAAAAATGTAAAAATATGAAAAAGAATTAAAATGCAAAGGAAATTTTAAATAAAGTGTTCTTGTAACAGAAGAGACCATCTTTCTAGCTTAAAAATACTGTTTAGGCCGGGCGCAGTGGCTCACACCTGTAATCCTAGCTCTCTGGGAGGCCGAGGCAGGCGGATTGCTCGAGGTCAGGAGTTCGAAACCAGCCTGAGCACGAGCAAGACCCCGTCTCTACTATAAATAGAAAGAAATTAATTGGTCAACTAAAAATATATAGAAAAAATTGGCCGGGCATGGTGGCACATGCCTGTAGTCCCAGCTACTTGGGAGGCTGAGGCAGGAGGATCGCTTGAGCTCCAGGAGTTGAGTTGCTGTGAGCCAGGCTTACGCCATGGCACTCACTCTAGCCTGGGCAACAAAGTGAGACTCTGTCTCAAAAAAAAAAAAAAAAAAAGTTACTGTTTAAGGTGGGGTGTAGTGGCTCACGCCTGTAACCCTAACATTTTGGGAGGCCAAGATTGGAGGATAGTTTTTTTTTTTTCCGGCATATTACGGGGGTACAGGTTTTAAGGTTTCAATAAATGCCCATTTCCCCCCTCCCCCCACAAGTCTGAGTCTCCAGCATGACCATCCCCCAGAAGGTGCACATCTCACTCATTATGTATGTATATTACCCCCCCCCAGGATAGTTTGAGAAAAGGAGTCCAGGACCAGCCTGAGCAAGATCAAGATCCCATCTCTACAAAAAATAGGAAAAAAATTTAGCCAGCCGTGGCAGCACATGCCTGTAGTCCCAGCTACTCAGGTGGCTGAGGCAGAAGGATTCCTTGAGCCCAGGAGTTTGAGGTTGCAGTGAGTTGGGATCATACCACTACATTCTAGCCTGAGCTATAGAGCAAGACAGTGTCTCGAAAAATTAAAAAATACTGTTTAGATGTAGAATGTGATACATTTAATAAAGAATGTTTAATAAGTCTAAATTTCTATCAATTTCATTGTACATAAGTGGGTGACCCAAACTAATGACATATCTTGATTTTTGTGGTGCTTCTTTGTAGCTTGCTGACTTTCGAGAAACTATTATGAAGATGCTGGGATTTAACATGAAAACAGCAGACAAGGAAATCATCAATCAGCTAAGGCTTATTATACAGGTTTATGAAATATCTAAAAAATCAAAGACTGCTTCTGATTGTGAGACTAGACAGGATAATAAATAAGGAAGTTCTGCCTTTTCATTGCTGACAACAATAACTAAGCAACAATAACTAAGCTGGACGTTTCCTCCAGCATCTTGAATATAGCTACGCTGTGAATAAAATGCATTGGAAATTTTAACTTTTCGTAGTAAAAATCTTTCTTTTTGTTTGTTTTTTGAGAGAGTCTCGCTTTGTTGCCCAGGCTAGAGTGAGCGCCGTTGGCGTCAGCCTAGCTCACAGCAACCTCAAACTCCTGGGCTCAAGCAATCCTTCTGCCTCAGCCTCCCAAGTAGCTGGGACTACAGGCATGCGCCACCATGCCTGGCTAATTTTTTTTCTATATATATTAGTTGACCAATTAATTTTCTTTCTATTTATAGTAGAGATGGGGGTCTCGCTCTTGCTCAGGCTGGTTTCAAACTCCTTGACCTTGAGCAATCCGCCCGCCTCGGCCTCCCAAGTGCTAGGATTACAGGTGTGAGCCACTGCGCCCAGCCTCGTAGTAACAATCTTGTTCCACACATTTATTTATTGTCTAGTCTGGATTGTTACTTGTAATATATAATTATCTAATTACACACAGTAATTATTAATTGTATATTAAGCAGGATATGAGTCACAAACTTCTGTTCTTAGTTGGAATATTTATATCCAGCCTGTTTCTAGAATGAACAACTTATTGGATATACAATCCCCCTTAGGAATCCAGGCAAACTTATATTTTATAATTTGTATCTATTTTACCTATTTGATTAACTAAAGGGTAGAAATTAAATATGAAATGTCGGGGTGGTCAAAAGGTTACCGAGCATTTTTATAAATATAGTAATAGTCTGTATTGTGGGTTTTTTTTTTGAGATGGAGTCTTACTCTGTTGCCCAGGCTAGGGTGCCGTGGCATCAGCCTAGCTCACAGCAACCTCAAACTCCTGGGTTCAAGTGATTCTCCTGCCTCAGCCTCCAGCATAGTTGGGACTACAGGCGAACACCACTAATTTTTTGTGTTTTTAAGTAGAGACTTTTTAATGTTTTTAGTAGAGACGGGGTCTTGCTCTTCCTCAGGCTGGTCTCAAACTCCTGAGCTCAAGCAATCCTCCTGCCTTGGCATCCCAGAGTGCTAGGATTACTGGTGTGAGCCACCACTCCTAGCCTGTATTGTGGTTTTTTTTTTTTTTTTGAGACAGTCTCACTTTGTTGTCCAGGGTAGAGTGAGTGCCCTGGTGTCAGCATAGCTCACAGCAACCTCAATCTCCTGGGCTCAAGCGATCCTCCTGCCTCAGCCTCCTGAGTAGCTGGGACTACAGGCATGCTCCACCATGCCCGGCTAATTTTTTTTTTTGTATATATATATATATTTTAATTGGTCAATTAATTTCTTTCTATTTTTAGTAGAGACGGGGTCTCGTTCAGGGTAGTCTCGAACTTCTGACCTTCAACGATCCGCCCGCCTCAGCCTCCCAGAGTGCCAGGATTACAGGAGTGAGCCACCGCGCCTGGTCATGTATTGTGTTTTGTATTAATATTTTCTTAGTATTTAATAATCCATGCTAGTGTGGTAGGCTAACCTCTAAGTTAATGGGGTATTTTAAAAATAGTATAATTTGTACTTTATTTTTCGAAATAGTAAGCTGCTCACCTTACAAGGTTGTTTTGAATTTACCCAAGATGTCCTCTGTGGGAACAGGTCAGAATCCAGACAGACCTGTGGGACTCCAGGCCTGCTGTAGTCATTTAAAAGGCTTTCCTGCTGGGCTTAGTTTTAGAGAGCTCTTGAGCATGGGAGGAATCAGGTTACATTACACCTTACAGAAGTAACATCTTGGAACAAAATGATTATCTTGAATACTCATTCAAGGAAAAATCGAGATTCATTCACCTGCTAAATGGTCACAGCAATGATTCCCAAACTGTGTGCCAAGGCACCCTGGTACACTGCAGCAGTGGTCCCCAACCTTTTTGGCACCAAGGACTGGTTTCATGGAAGACAATATTTCCATGAGGTAGGGGAAAGGGTGGGGGTTGTGGAGCTAAGTTGGCGATTCGAGGCCCTGTTTCCCTAACAAGCCATGGACCTAACAAGCCATGGACCAATCCCCAGCCAGAGCCTGAGATTTGGGGACTGGAGCACTGCAGGTATCTCAACATGCCATTAATATTTCAATTTTATGAAGGTAAACACTGCAGTATTTGACATCCATCAGGAAAGTACATGAATAGTAGCTTTAACATTAGATCACTCTTCATTCCTTTTGATGACATATCTTTGTAATAGAAACTGCCCAGCGCTGCTTAGGATTTGTAAATTTGTTGCCAAGTGAAGCCTAGCAGTTGGTGGTATCACCACCAAGGAAGCTGTCCTGCAAACTTGGGGAATGAGGCACCCTTGCCCGAGACTCCAGGATTCCTAACTGCAATGTAAGAAACTCACTCACCCTTACTCTCAAGAATGTCATTGGCATAGCAAAAGAGAAAAGGTGGGGGACACAGCCCAGAGCCTCCACTTGCAGCCCAACCTGGTCAAGTTGTAAGAACCACTTTCTTGTTCAGAATTCCCCCAAGACTGTGGCTCAGTGGTTGGCAACCTGCTGCAGCCTCAGAACACAGGAGCTAGTAGGATTGTGCCAATTTCTGAAAGAGCCACTTTCTGAGCACATTAAAAAAAAAGTCTTCTGGAAATACAAAGAGGGCTTCGTCTTAATGCTCTTTTATGAACTGTGTTATCAGGGACTGATTGTTCAACATTAGGGCAGGGAAAAGGTTAGCTACGTTAACTCTGAACAGCCAGGGAAAGAGACCTTTCGAGTGCCTGGAACAACATTTTCTAGAAATGCTTTTAATCCTATGGCCAACTAACTCACTGCCATACTCTTCTTCAATGATAAGGATTGGATATAGATTTAAGGCTTTAGATAAGTAGTTCTCAACCTTCAAGATGCAATAGAATCAATTAATGAACTTTAAAACATTTTTTTTTTCTTTTTCTAGGCCACAGAGTCCAGTTCAGTTAGTATAGTATGGGGCTGAAATATGGATAATTTGTCCAAGCTCCTTAAATATATAAACTGATAAAATTACTTTGGAAAACTGGCAGTATATTAGTTTCCTATTGCTGCTATAACAAATTATCAGAAACTTTGGGGCTAAAACAATACAAATTTATTATCTTATAGTTCTGGAGGTTGCACTGGGCTAAAATTAAGTCTCAACAGGTCTGTTTTCCTTCTGGAAAGGGGAGAATCCTTTTTCTTGCCTTTTCCAAATTAGAGACGGCCCATATTCTTGGCTCATTGCCTCCTTCCTCCATCTTCACAGCTAGGGACATCAGGTCAGCCCAACCTTTATTTCTCTCTCTCTCTCTCTCTATTTTTCTTTTTCTTTTCTTTTTTTTTTTTTTAAATCTAATTGGGAAACAGCAGAAAAAGCTCAGTCTTTCTGATGCTATTTCTCTGGTTCTCTTCCCCATTTAAGGGCCTTTGTGATTGATTGGGCTTACCTGAACATTCCAGAATGTGTTCCTTATTTTAGATCACCCAATTGGCATCTTTAATTCCCTCTGAAACCTTACTTCCTTTTTGCCATGTAACCTAATGTACTTATAGGTTCCAGGAATTAGGACAAGGACATTTTGGGGGAGCAATTATACTGCCTACCATAGTTACCATCTACTAAAATTGAACACATGTATGCCTTATGAACACACAACTCTACTTCCACATTTAATTAAAATAAATGTGTATATATTCTACAAAAGAACATTTACAAGATTATTCATGACAGCATTGTTCATAATCGTCCCAAACTGGAAACTACTCAAATGACCCAATTATGGTTTAAGTATGGCAACTAGACACATTAGATAAGCATTTGGATCTCCTTTGTGGTGGTCAGGGAAAGGACAATTGGAATGCTGAATTTTCTGAGGGGTAAAACTAGAAAGTGACTCTAGGTCCAGGACTAGGGAGATGGCAAATAAAGAAGAGCATGGGTTTGAGTGAAAAGGGTAAATTTTGGGGGGGTCCACTAAGCCAGTGGTAAGACTCTAACATGGTAGGAAAAGCTATGGGCTGTAAGGAGACCTTGGTTCTTGTTGAACATCTGTCATTAAGCCTTATAACCCTTTATCAAGTGCCGGCACCTCTCAAAAAAAACCTCGAATTTTCTTTTCGTTTTTGCTTTGCTTTAGTTTTTTTTAGAAACAAGACCTTGTTTTGTCACACAGGCTGGAGTGCAGTGGTGTGATCACAGCTTACTATAAGGAACCCCTGGCCTCAAGCCATCCTCCTGCCTCACACTCCTTAATAGCTGGAGCTGCAGGTGCACCACCGCACCTGGATAATTTTTTAATTTTTTGTAGAGACAAGATCTCGCTGTTGCCAAGGCTGACACGGAACTCTTGACTTAAAGCGAGTCTCCCCCCTGGGCCTTCCTCCAATTGTCTCTACCTCAAAATTAGAAAATGTGGCTTGGATTTCTTAATTCTGAATAATGGAGTTTCAGGCAGCTACTCTGGCAGAAACATTTTCTGGTCAGATAAAGCAGTTTGTTGCCCCAGGACAGGAGATAAGGGCTAGGCTACCAGGCACATACTGCCCGGGGCCCCATTTCTCAGCTACTAGAAGCCTGATCAGCCTCCTTCCTCCCCGCCTCTCTCGCTCGGCCCTAGCTCTACAAGTGTTCCCTTCCCCAGAGGGACCATTAGGACCCGCACGCCCTACTCTGAGCCGTCGCCTGATACAGCACACTCTAACGGCAAATGCGATTGTTTACGTGGAGACTACCTGTGCAGGACTCCCTTTCAGGATTCCCACTGTGGACACAAGCAACTCAGCGGTGCGAGCGCCTCCGCAGCCGCAGGTGACTTCCAATCCAGGTGCTACAGCAGCGCAACTAGCCCGCGCTACTGCGCTTCGCTGAATGCGTCTACGCGTGCGCAGCCCATCAAGGACAGAGAACGGGAGCGGGGACTTAAGTGTAGGGAGTTGATAGTGCGATGCTGTCTGCGAGAGAGGGCGAAGAAAACATGAAAGAAGACGGTGATGACTGGCTGGTAGAAAGAGCCGGTCCAGAGCGCACCTTTGTACAGACCGAAATACCCCGCCAGAGGGGGCTGAAACTGACCCCGGAACGCGGCCTCGATTCCAGCCAATCAGGGAGCGGAGCGGGGGCGGAGCCGGGCCGGGCGGTCTCGCGGGAGGACAGCTTCGCGGGCGCGGGAATCGCGTCACTTGAATCCGCCCGGGCTTCTGGGGCGCGTTGCTTGTGTTTGAGAGCGCTGGGTTTCCCGGGAGAGTTTTGGGCGGGTCCCCGCCCGGAAGTGTGGCGGGACGCTGGCCTAGACTGCACATGTTCAACCTGGAGAGTGTGGGGCGGCTTCCGATTTGTTTACACACCGGCGCCGCCAGGCTGGGGTCAGGCCCCATTTGGTTGCGATTCGGAGGGTCCGGGATGGCCCCGTAACTGTGCTTTTAAAATCTCAGCTGACTGTGGTGTTCAGCCAAGGCTGAAGCGCAGCCCTCTGTCTTAGGCCCCGCTGAGCTGGAAGGGGTGTCAGAGCTGGACTTCTCGTGGCCCCCTTGGTGTCCCGGTCACCCCGGGGTTTGCCAGGGCTCAGGCTTGGCAAGTCCAGATTTTGTCAGCTCCCCCTCAGCAAATCTGCGGTTGGAGCACAGACGCGGGCCTTCGAAAAACTAGATGCTAATTGACCATCAAGGGCGGACATTCATTCCCTCTCCGTAGGCGTCCTCGCTGGAGAAGAAATGAGGTTGGGCGATTGCTTGGGGAGCTTGACAGGAGAAAGGCAGCTGGGATGTTGTTGGTTAGGACTGCGGGCGAGTTCCCGAGTCCATTGGATTTGCTTGCTCTGTTCGAGGAACAGGGCTGTGTTCTTACAGCGCTGGGGTTACATTCATCCCTGTGGGGTTCTGAAGACGGTTGTTCACGTGACTTAGGACTTGACCAGATATCTGGGTTTCTTTTATAAGCTGTGTCTTAGGGAAGCCTGTTTCAACTAATGGCAGAGAGACAGAGCTCATCTATTGCACTAATTCTTTTCTTTTCCTCTTAATTTTGGGGGCTTATAGTATTTTTTTCTTATTCTTCATTTGAAGATATTTTACAGCAGCCCCCACAAAAAATTCTCCAAGAGTTGGAGAATCTCTTTTTTCAGTAACAGTTTAACTGAGGTATGAGATATATACCATAAATTCATCTATTTTAATTGTAGAATTCTGTGAGTTTTAGTATATTTACAGACTTGTGCAATCATCACCATAATAGAATTAGGGAATCTTTGGCCTTTACTATTCTCAAAGTTTGCCCAAGTGGATATTTTAGAGATAAAATGTAACAGAGAGCCTCTGAAAGTGTACACTTAAATTGAGTTATACCTGAGCAATTGAAATTAAGAGAATTGAAGCAAATGTTCCTGATAAATTACAGAGTGAAACTTTTGTGTCTTGTAAACTTTTGTGTAATATGTAATACCAGATACCATTTTAACTGTTTTGTATGCTGAAGAATATGGCATATACTCCGTTTTACAGATGAGGAAATCAACTTTGAAGGATAAGTTGTCTAAATCTACACAGCTGTGCCTAGGCTACCAAACCCAAGTGCTTTATCTAAATTTACTGCCTTTGCCACCTCAACAACCTGGTTTTCTTTTCTTTTCTGTTTCTCTCTCTTTCTTCCTTCCTTTGCTTTCTTTTCTTTCTTTCTTTTTCTTTTTCTTTTTTTTTTTAGGCAGAGTCTCACTCTGTTGCCCTGAGTAGAATGCCCTGGCATCCTAGCTCATAGCAACCTCAAATTCCTGGGCTCAAGCGATCCTCCTGCCTCAGCCTCCCGAATAACTGGGACTACAGGCACGAACCATGACGCCTGGCTAGTTTTTCTGGTTTTTGTAGAGATAGAGTCTGGTTTTTGTAGAGATGGAGTCTTGTTTTTGCTCAGGCTAGTTAAACTTGCTTATTCAGAGCTCAGAGCTTCATAAAAAGACCAGAGATCTTAGATGATATGGGGTGGGAGCAGAAGGTACTATTTTCTTTTGTTAAGTAATTGAGGATTTCACATATGGTTAAAATGATTAGTTAAGAGTAGTCAAGGAACCAGAATTCTCATGCATTGCTGATCTCAAACTCCTGAACTCAAATGATCCTCCCACCTCAGCCTCCCAGAGTGCTAGGATTATAGCCGTGAGCCACCATGCCCAGCCCAGTGTTGGGTTTTTTGTTACTCAATAGCAGTGGTCCTCAAATTACAGCCCGAGGGCCACAGGTGGCTGGCTGAGGACTTTTATCCAGCCCGCCAGGTGTTTTTGCCACTGCTGCTTGTCCTTAGCAGCCGACTTGTGCCGGGCCCACAGTGCACATGTGTGGAATGTGCTCCGCACACTACAATGGCCCTCCAACGGTCTGAGGGACAGTGAACTGGCCCCCTGTTTAAAAAGTTTGAGGGCCCCTGCTCAATAGTATTCCATTTTGTGGATATACCACATTTTAAAAAATTAATAGTTTATTTTTTAGAAGGCAGTTTTAGGATTACAGAAAACCAGTTTAAAGCACAGAGTCCCTATATGCTCTCTCCCCCTCAGTTTCCCCTATTAATATCAACTTGCGTTAATGTGGCACATTTGTTACAATTGATGAGTCAATATTGGCATAGTATTATTAACTAAAGTCAATAGTTTACTACATTAGGATCCACTCTTTGTGTTCTATATTCTGTGGGTTTTGAGAAATTTATAACGACATGTATAGACCATTATGTTATCATACAGAATAATTTCACTGCCCTAAGAATGTACTGTGTTCTATCCATCCCTTCTTCTCCCCACCCCACCCAAACCACTGGCAACCACTGATCTTTTTACTGTCTCCATGATTTTTCATTTTCCAGAATGTCACATGTTTGGAATCATACAGTTGTGGCATTTTCAGATTGGCTTATTTCATTTAGTAAATGATTAAAGGTTATAGCTTATTGCTTTTTATTGCTAAACAATATCTTGTTGTACAGATAAACCACAGTTTGGTTATCCATTCACCTAGTGGTGAATCTTGGTTGCTTCTAATTTTTGGCGATTATGAATAAAGCTGCTATTCATGGCAGGTTTTTATGTAGATGTAAAATTTCAACTCACTTGGGTAAAAACCAAGGAGTGTTATTTTTGGATCATATTATAATAGTATGTTTAGTTTTGAAAGAAACTGCCAAACTTTTTATAAATTGGTTTTTCCATTTTGCATTCCTGTTAGCAATGAATGAGCATTCCTATTGCTCCACATCCTCCTCAGTATTAACTTCTATGATAGCAAAAGATTGGCTCTAATTTCATTATTAAGTAGATATTTGTACATAAAAGTTTACTTGACAAAATATGGTAGTTTAATTCTTCAAAGGCTGTTTGCAGACAGACCTACCTTTTGGATAATTACAGTTGTTTCAACCCTGTATTTGACTTTACAGGCAAAATTAAGTAGAAGAGAAACATTGCAAGTAAGGGGGGTATAAAGGTACTTTCAAATAATGACTTTAATAATTAAATTATGTTTGTAACTTTCTGATAAGAAAGTCACATTTATTTCTTGGAGATAAATTGATTGGCCTAATAATCTGAAATAATGGTCTGAGATTGTGGGTTTAAGTTTTTAAATTCTTTCCCTTTAGTCAGAGGAAATGACCATATTGCAAATACACTTTTTCTATAGAATAAAAATGACTCTTCTGCCCAAGATGAAGTCCATGTCCTGTTTTTTCCTGATAGTTTTTTCCCTTCTGTCTTTACGTAGCTTTGTAGCAATGTTTTAATAAATAATACATTACCCTACACCTATATTGGTATTTGTTTCACAGCACAGATGTGAGTTGTCTTCAACTTATCTAATGTTAATCATCATTGATTGTATCATTGTGCAGTGGCTAGTAGAGAATGTAGGAAAAAATGTAGGCTTTTAAAATGTGACATAAAATCATTCTACTAGCAGTAAATCAAAGCGTTGTTTTGAAATGTCAAGAAGCCCAAACACAAATTTAAGTTACAGTTTTATAAACTTCTGTTCTAATGCAATTGATTGATTGATTGATTGAGAGGATCTCCCTCTGTTGCCCAAGCTAGAGAGCAGTGATCATAGTTCACTATAGCCTCAAACTCCTGGGCTCAAGTGATCTTCCTGCCTCAGTCTCCCAAAGTGCTTGCATTATAGGAATGAGTCACTTCGCCCAACCCTTCTAATGCATTTTAATAGAATTTTCTTTAGTATTGCTTAACCCCCCTCCCAAGCCAGTAGGGCTCCAGAATCATTTTGAAATCAACCCCTAAGTCAATATCCTTTCTCTGTAATTTTAGCATCCTTAATTTAAATCTTCTAAGCCCAGCTGTAAGTTGAAATGATTTTAGAATACTGTGAGTAAAAATCTAATACAAAAAAATGGCTTCATTTTGCAGGAAAGGGTGTACTAGGTAGGTAATTGACAGAATGACCAGGAACATGAAATAGGAGTAGGTCAGACAGATTAAATTGTTACATATTTTGAATGCACTGTAAATGAAATTTTGAGATCAATATGCCAGTTTTGTTGCATCTAATAAGGACTTTTAAGGACACAGGCAAGATGGACAGATGGAAAACTGCTGTGTTTGGTCTTGCTAAAGCAAAGGAAAGTACTGTATGTAAAATTTCCCCAGAATTTCCTGAAAAAGGCAAACTGCACTTTTATATAATTTTACCTTTGAATCGTTATAATTATATATTAAATAAGCATATATTACCACTGTAATACATGTTATATTTTCATCTTGAAACATCTTACTGTCTTTTTCTTATTGTTTTAGGGTTTCAGTGGATTTTTCATAACAGCTCTTGGCTGGACACAAATTTACTGAGGTTACTTCATCCTTTAATTATGCTGTATTCAAATGCAGGAATTCTAAAGGGGCAGCCCTGACTGGATCTCAAGGAAGTATCCTAAGTGTAGCAGACAATCTCTGTTCCAAACAGCCATTTCCTTTTTATTTGTTGCTATAGCCCGTATTAGTTAGCGTTCTACCCTTTGCTTTATGGTTCTGGGCTCAGAGATAAATTCTGGCAAGTCTAAGCTAGTTAAGGTGTCCCATTCCCTTAGCCAGTGATTGGTTTAAAGGTATGAGTGTTGTTGGGAGCTGTCCTGGACACGGGAGAGTTAAAGTACGGTTGCTGCCTGGAAAACTGGGGTCTTTGAGACATAGCACCTGGCACCTTGACTCAGGGCTCTGACATGCTTGGCCTTTCTCCCAGCTCGTGGAGGGTGCTGGAGATAGCAGTTGCAGTTATGGAAGGTCACTGAAGTAATCCTGTGCACGTAGCCCTCGTAGCTTTTGGCCCCCCCCCAAGCCCTGCACATTCCTTTCCCATGCATGTTAATCACTCTTGGGTGCTCTTTTCCTTGAACTGTCTGAGTCATCATAGTTGAGTATTTGTAGCCTTATTGATATCAGAAGAAAGTTAAGTTGTAGATTAGAAAACCGCTCAAGCAAGAGAAAAGGCTATCAGAATGACTTAAGGTTGAAAGAAACAAGAACTGTTTTGTTTTCTGGTTTAGCGTAAGCATGTACCATCTGTTCCATTGCATTCCGCTTCTCCTTTGTTCTTATCTGTATAAATATAGCAACTGAAATAAACGCGGCACGGCAGTCTCCAAGGACTCCGTCCTCCCGTCCCCATCTGTGTGTTGTCTCTTTACTTCTTATCCTCGCCCCCTAACTCCAGGTGCTGCAGGTCGCCAGCTGGCTCTGGCAGGTGGTGGCCCGTACAGGGGATCCCTCTTTCCAGGAGGGCCTTTGGCGGCACTTGGTGACCAGGGATTCGGTGAAGGCAGCTGCCCGTGGAAGGCCGGCCGTGACAGAAAGAAAGGTGAGTTGGGCAGAGTGTAATTGACGGGAGTAAGAAATTATGGGGCAAGGTACTAGTAGGATGTTGTTTGTGCAAGTTTTAAAGAGTATGCTTTGGGCTCGAAGTGTTAAAGTAGGAAGAAAGCAGTTGGAAAATTTTTTAACTTTTGTGGAGGAAGTGTGTCCTTGGTTCCCTGAGGAGGGAACAGTAAATTTAGATACATGGAAGAAGGTAGGGGTTAAATTGCAGGACTATTACTCAGCTCATGGGCCTGAGAAGGTTCCAGTGGACAACTTTTTTCTTTGGAACCTTATTAGGGATTGTCTGGACCCCCGGCATGAAGGACAGCGCTTAACTTTAGGCCAGAGTCCTGTAATCCCTGAGGATGAATCTGATGATCACTCTCCTCCTTTGCCTGTTAACCCCTATCTGGAGGCTCAGGATCTGCTGTTACAAACTCAGCAGCAGTTTAAAGATCCCCAACCTGAGCCCCCTGTTGAGAGCGAGGTTATGTTGGGAGATGCCGAGGACTTAGGACCTTGGGCTCTCGAAGCTACAGCCTCTGTGACTTCTCATACTCAGAAACAGGCACCTAATGTGGTCAAGGAATTGGAAACTCTAAAAAATATGATGCAACAACTTCTCATTCAAAATGCTGTTGAAAATCCCTTAAGAGCTCCCTTAGATGTACAATCACAAAAGTCTTATTCTCCCTCAGTCCTCGCGGGATTGGACCCTCCTCCGATACCGCCTGTTGTTGCCCATCTTTCTAAGCCCAAGGGTAAGCCTTTGCTCATTCCTCCTTCTCTTAGAGAGTCCTCCCTCTCTCGTTCCTCTCCCCTACAAAAAGCGCTGATGAAGGCTTTTGATAATAATGATAATCTGGGAGGTTTCTCTTTGTTCCCTGTTATTCAAGAGGAGGAGGGGGATTGTCAGTATCATCGGCCTCTCCCCATCAAGCAGTTAAAAGAGTTGAAAGTTGCCTGCACCCAATACGGTCCCACAGCCCCTTTTACTGAAGCCTTGCTAGATTCCCTGGCCGCTGTGGCCATGCCCCCTGATGACTGGAAAAACATAGCAAAGGCCTGTCTTAGCGGGGGAGACAATTTGCTTTGGAAATCAGAATTTCACGATCAGTGCCATGCTATAGCAGGTATTAATAGGGCTCAGGGCATCCATGTCACTTTCGATATGCTGGCCGGAGAAGGGGAATACCGATTTCTTGAACAACAGTTGGCTTTTCTCCCCGCTGCTTATGCCCAGACCAATGCCGCAGCTATGAGGGCTTGGCGTAAGCTACCCAGCTCGCAAAAGTCTGAGGACTTGTCTAAGATCAGGCAGGGTCCTGATGAGCCTTACCAGGACTTTGTCTCTCGCTTGTTAGAGGCTACAAAAAGATTAGTCAATGATAGCGATACTGAGGCCCTTCTAGTGAAACAGTTGGCTTTTAAAAATGCTAATTCTGCCTGTCAGGCGGCTATACGTCCTTTTAAGAAAAGGGGGACTCTTGAGGATTTTATCCAGCTTTGTGCTGACATCGGCCCTTCTTATATGCAAGGGATTACTTTAGCAGCCGCCTTGCAAGGGAAATCAGTAAAACAGCTCCTCTTTCAGCAGCAGACTAAAAAGGGCAACTCTAAACAGCCTAAGGTTGCCGGCCCTCCAGGCAGTTGTTATAACTGTGGGCAGCTGGGACATCGCGCAGCCCAATGTCCAAAACCTCACACAGATGATCCTCCAAAGAAACTTCCTGGACTTTGCCCTAGGTGTAAAAAAGGAAATCACTGGGCCAGGAATTGCAAATCCACCACGGATGTGCATGGAAATAAACTTGCTCCCCGTCAGGGAAACTGGAAGAGGGGCCAGCCCCTGGCCCCACAGCAATGTTATGGGGCACTGCAGAGACAACCCCTTCAGGGGGAGTCCCAGAACCAGGGAGGAAATCCGTTTGTGACCTCTTCCGAGCAACCCCAGGCAGCGCAGGACTAGACCTCTGTGCCTCTGCCTACACAGTATTAACTCCAGATATGGGTGTGCAGGCTCTCCCCACTGGGACTTTTGGACCCCTGCCGCCAGCTCCATGGGCCTGTTATTAGGTAGAAGCAGTATCACCTTGAAAGGCTTACATGTGTCACCAGGGGTTATAGATCAGGATTATACAGGGAAAATTAAAGTTTTGATCTCCTCTCCCAGCTCTATTTCTATTGTCAACCCCGGCCAGCGCATTGCTCAGCTTGTTTTGAGCTCCTTGACATCCCTTGGTAAAGTACAATCGCAACAAGCCAGGGGACCCTCTGCTTTTGGCTCCTCAGTTACTTACTGGATGCAATCTATTACTAGGAATAAGCCTGAAATGGTTTTGTGAGTGAACGGCAAGGCCTTTAAAGGAATTCTAGATATTGGAGCTGATGTTTCTGTTATCACTGAGCAACACTGGCTCTCCTTGTGGCTCAAGCAGGGAGTTGTTGGCTCACTCCAGGGTATAGGCCAAGCCCGTAATCCTGAACAGAGTAGTGAATTGCTTACCTGGGTTGACGAGGAGGGACATTCTGGACAATTCCAACCATATGTTCTACCTGCTCTACCCATTAATCTTTGGGGAAGAGATGTTATGCAGGCTATGGGAGTTTATTTGTATAGCCCTAATGCCACAGTTACTAAGCAACTCTTTGATCAAGGGATGCTCCCAGCCCAAGGCTTGGGGATTAAGGGTCAAGGTATTTCTAAATCTATTCAAGTAAAGCCCCGGCCACTTCGAGCAGGCCTCGGGTATTTTTAGAAGGGGCCTTTGATTCTCCTGCAACTCACGTAGAGGCTATTACTTGGAAATCTGATGCACCTGTGTGGGTTGATCAATGGCCCCTCAATCAAGAAAAAATAGCCGCTGCAGAGCAGCTGGTGCAGGAACAGCTTGATAGCGGCCACATAGCCCCCTCCAACTCCCCTTGAAATTCTCCAATTTTTGTCATTAAAAAGAAGTCTGGAAAATAGAGGCTGCTCCAAGATCTTAGACGTGTTAATGCCACCATGGAACTCATGGGAGCTCTGCAGCCAGGTCTCCCTGTCCCCATGGCTATTCCAGCCCATACTTTTAGAATTATAATAGATTTAAAAGACTCTTCTATACCATTGCTCTTGCGCCACAAGATTGTAAACATTTTGCTTTTAGTGTTCCTTTTACTAACTTTAGGGAACCCATAAAGCATTATCATTGGCTTGTTCTGCCCCAAGGCATGGCCAACAGCCCCACTTTGTGTCAAAAATTTGTTGCCAACGCTTTAACTGCTACTAGAATCAAATATCCTACTGTATATATCATCCACTATATGGATGACATTCTTTTGGCCCATGCAGATGAATGACTCTTACTGCAAGTTTTTAATCATGTAACAACACAATTAAATAAACAGGGTCTTGTCATTGCTCAGAAAAGGGTGCAGAGGCACCCTCCTTATTCTTATTTGGGATACCAACTGCATAAATACCATTTTATTAACTAAGGAATTCAACTTTATAAGGATGGCTTAAAAACTCTTAATGATTTCCAAAGACTTCTGGGAGATATCAATTGGATTCGACCCTATTTGAGAATTACCACTGAGGACTTTAAGCCTCTTTTCGACATCTTGAAGGGCAATTCCAATCCTAATTCTCCTTGTCAAGTAACTCCTGACAGGAGGCAAGCCTTAAAATTAGTAGAACAGGAATTGTCCCGCCACATGTTTCCTATGTAAACTACGACTTAGAATGGGCTGGCTATGTTTTACCCACCTCTCATACTCCCACAGTGGTCCTCTATCACGGGGGACCACTGATGTGGCTACATTTGCCCTCCTCTCCCTCTAAAATTCTAACTCCTTATTATGAGATGGTTGCTACCTTAATCCATATGCTGCGTTCAGAGTCCTGCAAATTACTAGGTAGAGAGCCGCACCTTATTTGTGTTCCTTTTTCCTGTCAGCAACAGGACTGGTTGTTCTAGCATAGTGACTCCTGAGCTATAGCCCTGGCCAATTACCCTGGAAAAATTGACAACCATTACCCCCCTGATAAGTTGTTACATTTTGCCAGCCTACATCAGTTTATTTTTCCTCCCAAAGTGTCTCCTGTACCTCTTGACAATGCTGTTCTGATTTTCACAGATGGATCCTCTAATGGTATGGCAGCCTATTCAGTTAACAATGACATTAAATCTTGATACACTGGGTCCTCCTCGGCTTGAGAGGTCGAATTGCAGGTGGTTTTTTCAGCTTTACAGGCCATCCCTGCTAAGCCCGTTAACCTTTATTCAGATAGCCATTATGTAATTCGGGCACTCCAAGTCATAGAGACTGTGCCCTTTATTGGGACCTCTAATAGTAATGTTCAAAAATTGTTTTGGGCCTTGCAAGCTCTCATTCACTCCTGTATAGAAGGATGTTTCTTTGGGCACCTTCGTGCTCATTAGCGCCTGCCTGGTCCCCTCAGCTGAGGAAATGAAATTGTAGATCTTGCTACTAGAACCAAACCCCCTCTTATTTTGTTAACTCAAGTGCAATTAGCATAGCAGTCCCATGCTTTGCACCACCAAAATAGCCGCGCTCTCAAGCAACAGTTCAATATCACTAGAGAAGCGGCTCAACAAATTATAAAAGCTTGCTCTTCCTGTTCTCACTTACTCCCCATCCCCCATTATGGTGTTAATCCCAGGAGCCTTTTACCTAACCACTTATGGCAAATAGATGTAACCCATATTTCTTCTTTTGGTCTATTAAAATATGTTCATCTGACCATAGACACTTATTCTGGATTTTTAATGGCCACTTTGCAATTAGGCAAGGCTGGTAAACATTGTGTAGCCCATTGCCTCCGCTGCTTTGCATCAATGGGCCAGCCTAAATGTATGAAAACAGACAATGGCCCTAGATACACGGGTCACAAATTTCAAACATTCTTACAGAAAATGGGTATCAGTCATAAAACAGGAATTCCTTATAACCCCCAAGGACAAGGCATTGTGGAATGTGCCCACTTGACTCTCAAAAATCAACTTTTGAAAATAAAAAAGGGGGAACTGTACCCCCTCACCCCCCAGAATTATCTAAACCATGCTCTCTTTATTTTAAATTTTTAAATTTTGGACAAAGAAGGTTGTTCAGCGGCCCAGCGGTTTTGGTGTACTAATTCCAACAAAGACACGCTGTTAGTCATATGGAAGGATCCACTGACTGGGCAGTGGTCAGGACCGGATCCGGTTCTTATCTGGGGACGAGGGCATGTTTGTGTGTTTCCACAGAATGCCGAAGGCCCGTGCTGGCTCCCGGAGAGGCTGGTACGCCAGGCAGGATCCCTCCATAGAAAACAGGATGAAGAGACTGAAGCTGCATGACGACCAGCAACCTCCACTTATGATGACAACTAGACAAGCTCTGCTGCCCTCTTGGGGTCAGATTAAGAGACTTACTGAGACTGCTTCTGAGCTGGTTCGAGAAACGGGGCAGCCATTGAATTCTTTGACCTTGTTTTTAGCTATGATAACTCTGCTATCGACGCCTACCCAGGCTGCCACCTATTGAACTTATATACCAGACCCCCCTTTACTCCACCCGGTGGGATGGGGAGAGCGTGGTTGTTCCCGTCTCTGTCAGTGATCCCAGGGCTCTGGGAGCACCCGCTAATGATCACATCCAGCACGCTAAAGTATCTGCTTATAATTATACAGAACTCACCTGTGATGTTCCTATCTGTTTCCACCATGGGGGTTATTTTCTGGGCTGTGTTCCTGTATCTACTTATGTATATTACAACTTAAATGATGTTAGATGGACTGTGTTTATGTCAAGTTTAGACAGGCAATTTTCTGGCTCTGCGCCCTCTGATTTGCTGCCGCCACCCAGAATGCTTCCCTGTGAAAAGGAGCCCATTGCTTCCACTCTGCATGTGCCCTGGAGACGTTGCTGTGAACCAACTGCGACTAAGATTCCTATGCCCGGGACGACTCAGAGCATATATGATTGTACCCCGGCAAAAACTGACAAATGGGTATTTGGGAGACAAGGGTTTTGTTGAGGGGCTATGGACAACTACTCTAAAGGTATACCAGACTAGTCTCTGGAAACTTGTTGCAGGAACCAGTCAATTCTCTGCAGAGGGTGTGGTAGACTCTACACCAAAAATATGCCTAAGGACATTTCTGCCTGTGTTCCTGAACCTTTTGTGCTCATGATAGGCGATGCGAATATTTGCACCGTCACTCATGGTTTTGAGGTATCATGCCTTAATTGTCAACTAACTAATTGTATACAATCCCTTGCCTATTATGATAGAATGGTTGTGTTATACCGCCCCGTTTTTGTGGTGGTCCCAACTAATGTCTCTGGCCCATGGTATGATGATAAAGGATTGCAGATGTGGAAGGAGGTAAACGCTATTCTGCTAAGGTCTAGAAGATTTATTGGGCTACTCATAGCTGGCAGTGTAGCTCTTGTTACTGTAATAGCATCTGCTGCTGCGGCTGCTGTGGCGTTGACACAGGAGATACAAACTGCCCATTATGTCAATAATCTCTCTAAAAATGTCACTCAGGCTTTGGGTACCCAAGAGCATATTGATAAAAAGATTAAAGACAGACTAGACGCTTTGTATGATGTGGTCTAGATTCTGGGAAAAGAAGTACAAGGGTTTCGGCTGCGCAGCCAGCTCCGCTGCCATGACAATTATCAGTGGGTTTGTGTAACTCCCAAACCTTATGATGAGAGTAACTGTGATTGGGCTAAGGTCCAAAATCACCTGGCAGGGATCTGGCACTCCACAAATACATCTTTGGATTTGCTCCAACTTCATCAAGAAATAACAGGAATGTTAGAGACTCCTCCCCTTGATACTAGCATTGCCACAGAAGCCCGAAATTTTCTCAATCAACTCTTAGGGCATGTTCCATCTTTTAGAAATTTTAAAAGCTTATTCTTTATTTTTTTTTTTTTAAAAGAGAGATAGAGTCACTTTTGCTCAGGCTACAGTGAGTGCTGTGGCGTCAGCCTAGCTCACAGCAACCTCAATCTCCTGGGCTCAAGCGATCCTACCGCCTCAGCCTCCCGAGTAGCAGGGACTACAGGCATGTGCTACCATGCCCTGCTTTTTTTTTTTTTTTTGTATATATATTTTTAGTTGGTTAATTCATTTCTTTCATTTTAGTAAGAGACGGGGTCTCATCCAGGCTGGTTTCGAACTCTCAACCTTGAGCAATCCGTCCACCTCGGCCTCCCAGAGTGCTAGGATTACAGGCGTGAGCCACCACACCTGGCCTAAAAGCTTATTCTTTATGATCATTGGGGATTTTGTTCTTCTCCTGCTAATTTTGTGTTGTTACGCCTCTGCTATTGTGACTGATTGTTAATATTTTGGCTGCTAAGGCTGCCATACACTCCACCAACTTGCAAATAAAAGCTTACCAGCGCCCTCCATTTAATTATAAAAGGAAGGGGGAGATGTCAGGACTGTCCTGGACACGGGAGATTAAAGTGCGGTTGCTGCCTGGAAAACTGGGGTCTTTGAGACATAGCACCTGGCACCTTGACAAGAGCTCTGACATTCTTGCCTTTCTCCCAGTTCGTGGAGGTTGCTGGAGATAGCAGTCACAGTTATGGAAGGTCACTGAAGTAATCCTGTGCATGTAGCTCTCATAGCTTATAGCTCCCCCTCCCAAGCCCTGCACATTCCTATTCCCATGCCCATGCATGTTAATCACTATTGGGTGCTCTTTTTTTTGAGGCAGAGTCTCACTCTGTTGCCCAGGCTAGAGTGAGTGTCGTGGCATCAGCCCAGTTCAAAGCAACTTCAATCTCCTGGGCTCAAGTGATCTGACTGCCTCAGCCTCCTGAGTAGCTGGGACTACAGGCATGTGCCACCATGCCCAGCTAATTTTTTGTATATATATATTTTGGTCTTTCTTTCTATTTTAGTGACGGACTTGCTCTCCTCGAGGCTGAATCTAACTCCTGAGCTGGAGCCATCTCCCGCCTCCGCCTCCCAGAGTGCTAGGATTATAGGTGTGAGCCACCACGCCTGGCCGCTCTTGGGTGCTCTTTTCCTTGAACTGTCTGAGTCATCATAGTTGAGTATTTGTAGCCTTATTGATATCAGAAGAAAGTTAAGTTGTAGATTAGAAAACTGCTCAAGCAAGAGAAAAGGCTATCAAAATGACTTAAGGTTGAAAGAAACAAGAACTGTTTGTTTTTCTGGTTTAGCGTATATATGTATCATTGTTCCATTGCATTCCGCTTCTCCTTTGTTCTTATCTGTATAAATATAGCAACTGAAATAAACGCGGCACGGCAGTCTCCAGGACTCCGTCCTCCCGTCCCCATCTGTGTGTTGTCTCTTTCTTCTTATTCCCCCCTAACTCCAGGTGCTGCAGGTCACCGGCTGGCTCCAGCAGAGTGTGACCCAGTTTTGGCCAAAGAGGCATGAGAATATGGTGAGACAGGTTCTAGGAAAGTTCTTTGTTCTTAAAAAAAAAAAAAAAGACTCGTATGAGATAATCCTCTTTCTTGATTGAATATTGTCGCCTAATATGATCCTTGAAGTGCTACAGCCATTTATAATCATGGATGAGCTGCCCTAAAGTGGTGGTCATACCAAAGACAGCAGAACAGAAGATGGAAAGAACAGGTTTGATGACAATGTTGGACTTCTGAATTAATCAAATTTGGAGCTGTACTATACCCAGACTTGTTAAATTGAGTTGTTAAATTTCCCTCTGTTCACTTGAGTCAAGATTCTCTGTTACTTGCAACTGAAAAGATTCTGTTAATATATATCTAACAGAATGTATATATAATATATATAATTTATTTATGAGACAGGATCTCACTCTGTTGCCTGGGCTAGAGCACAGTGGCATCATCATAGCTCACTGCAACCTCAAACTCCTGAGCTCAAGCGATCCTCTGCCTCAGCCTCCTGAGTAGCTGGGACTACAAGCACATGACACAGTGCCTGGCTAATTTTCTTTTTGTAGAGACAGAGTCTCAGTCTTTCTCAGGCTAATTCTGTTAAAATGTTATACCACAATGTCCTTGGCTTATGTAACATCTACCAGTTAGATAACATACATACTCTTTCAAGCAGCTAATGGGTATGAATTATGGGGGCTCTCCTTCTGTTCTTTAGGGACTCTAGAAGTGCCAGATAATTCTGCTTTAACCCATTATGGTGACAGAATGAAGAATTTGGCAATAATAGCTACCATTTACTGAACACCAACTGCATGTCAAGCACTGTGCCTAATGTTTCAGGTATATTACCTCTTTTCAAGGATCAAAAGTGGGAATTAGGGGAGAATCACATAGAAGGAGACTTCTAAACTGAATTTCTCCTCAAAATAAACCATCAGGAGTTATAGGATGGTGGGGTAAAGGAGTGGTGTGTAAGTTAACATAATATGATGGTTTTAGATGAAACGGAAGCTGTGACAGGCTTTATGGCAGCATATGCCTTAGGCCCTAAGGACAATCTTGAAGCAGCCAAGGCTTTCATTCTGGATTCTAGAGAAAAATAGACTCTCTCAGCCTGTGAGAATGAAATCAACTGATTAATTCTCTCTTCGGTGTCCTTCATGATGGTCATGTCAAGAACCCTTTTTCCATCAAGTTTCTGTTCCAGATTCTGAAAAATACTGAACCATGATATGCCAGAAATAGCTGAGCATTGGCATATGTTTCTTAATATGTTGCCATTTCCATCTTTATTTCCATATAATATACTGGGAATGGAAGTGGACATGCAGATCCTAGTAATATTACCCTAGGCTGGAAGAATCTGAAACAAAACAGAAGGAGCTAAAAATGAAATAAACTGGTCAAGGAAAGAAGTGCCCACAGCCCCTACCATCTCCTCACAGAGGCCGGTACTTCATGTGGTTTTCCCACTATTCATTTGACTTTTTTTTTTTTTTTTTGAGACAGAGTCTCACTCTGTTGCCTGGCTAGAGTGCCGTGGCACTAGCCTAGCTCAAAGCAACCTCAAACTCCTGCTCAAGGGATCCTCCTGCCTCAGCCTCTTGAGGAGCTGGGACTACTGATGTCGACTACCACACCCAGCTAATTTTATTTTTAGTAGAGACAGGGTGTCGATCTTGCTCAGGTTGGTCCCAAACTCCTGACCTCAAGCAATCTTTCTGCCTTGTCCTCCTATAGTGCTAGGATTACAGGCATGAGCCACCATGCCTGGCCTGACATTTTTTCTTATCTAGTGAGGTTATAATATAATCCGAGAGAGAGAGAGAGGGGATATATGTGTGAATATATGAATAAACGAGTGTGTCTGTGTATGTATGCTGTCTGTTTATATAGACTTTAAGTAAAGGGATTATCCTAGATGATCTGAGTGGGTCTGATTAAATCATTTCAGAAGGCTAAGCCTTAAACTGGCTTGTTTCACTTAGTAATATATATTCAAGGTTCCTATATGTCTTTTTTTTTTTTAGCGTATTATGGGGGTACAAATGTTAAGGTTACATATATTGCCCATGCCCCCTCCACCCTCGAGTAGGAGCTTCAAGCGTGTCCATCCCCAAACACTGCACATCTTACTTGTTGTGGTTGTATATACCCATCCCCTTTCCCCCCCTCCCACCCTCTCGACACTCGATAATGTTTCTCCTATATGTCCGCTTAGGTGTTGTCTGTTAATACCAATTTGCTGGTGAGTACATGTGGTGCTGGTTTTCCCATTCCTGACCTATATGTCTGTCTTGTGATTTGACACCTCATTGCTTTACATACAAGTTTTTCAGGAAGAAGGAAAATGATACCAGATGGAAATCTCTATTAACAAAAATTTCAAGTATTTAAAAACTAAAACCTTGGCTAAAAAGAAATAAGAAGTAGCCACACTGATTCCACCAATAGTCAATTTGACTCCACTGTGCACAGGAAATCAATGAGGAGAATATGAGCCATTTCTCCTAATAATATTTCACTTACTAATTATTCCTTGAAGACTTAGAGCTAAGAAGTTGTAATGCAGAAATGCCGACAGACACAGAAATTTTTAAATCTCCAACAAAGACTTACTTTCTAGCCAAAGATCAGCAAAGGGCCAGCCTAGGAAGAGAGAAAAATAAAAATAATGAAATGCAAATGCTGGCAAGACTGCAGAGAAACTGGATCACTACACCATTGGATTTCATATGTGTGGTTTCCATGTGTAATTTATACTGCTTGGGGTTTGTTGTACTCTTGAAACTGTGGATTAATGTCTTTAGTCAGTTTTGGAAAATTCTCCTCCTGTGTTTTGCCAGTCTCCAGTAATTTATTTATTTTTTATTTTTATTTTTTTGAGACAGAGTCTCGCTTTGTTTGCTCAGGCTAGAGTGAGTGCCGTGGCATCCAGCCTAGCTCGCAGCACTTCAAATCCTGGCTCAAGCAATCCTCCTGCCTCAGCCTCCCAAGTAGCTGGGACTACAGCATGCGCCACCATGTCTGGCTAAGTTTTGTATATATATATTTTTAGTTGGTCCATTAATTTCTTTCTATTTTAGTAGAGACGGGTCTTCACTCAGGCTGGTTTGAACTCCTGACCTCGAGCAATCCCGGCCTCAGCCTCCCAGAGTGCTAGGATTACAGGCATGAGCCACCGTG